TCGTCCTGTCATGTCCATCCCATTTATACATCCCAGTCCATTTTTTCCTCTAGATATATTTATGTTTATAATTATATATATATATTTGTAAGACTACATGCGTCCGCATTCCGGACCAGTTTGAGGATCACACCCTCTGCCTCACCTACAAGGTGTTTTATGGTTGGGTGTCTAGCGTGTAGTAAGTCTCAAATCANATCAAAGCAATCAACACCTAATACCATAAATAATATAACCCAGTCAATCCTTAACGGTGAAGCTCCGAAGCCCTTTACTCTTTGTTCAAAAAGTAAGTCAATCTGTACCAAACTTTGAAACAGTTTATTTATGATCCATCTGTCGTCCTACTGTATTCCGCTGCAACTACTTGGTTCGACCGCAGCTCTTCCTCTGAAATTCTAACGTTCACTACCCTTCTTCTTTTCTCTGAACTCGTTTCCGCGAATCATCTCCCGAGTGGATATTTTCACCTTCAGTTCTGTGTCTTCCCCAATGTTCTTTATAAGACAATGGTTTACATTGATGTGATCTCCATAGCAGACCACTCTCAGTGATCCATTATACGACCTTGTCCGCTTTGTGTTTCTTATTCATCACAATGCATGGTTACGATGTCTTTTGTACCCGTTTGAAAATTACTTTCTTACCCTGTCTGTACCTTTAATCTTTGTTTGGACCATCGTTTTTTACATTGTTGTAGATTTAATCATGGGCACTAGCATGCCTCACGGACCTCGTGAAATGTACCGCATTTTTAATAATAATAATAAATATATAATAATAATATAAATATAAACATCATAGCCCGAGTGGAACATGGTTGTGACTCAGCGGCTGCCGGTCTATCTGGTTGATTATACCTCAACAAATTTCCTCGGCAGAGCCTGAATGAAGCGTCTACCTAATTTGTTAAACAAAGTCTGACTGGTCTGCGAAGATTCCTTAAAAACAATTCTCCATCAAAATGCAAATGATTTGGATGACACAAAACTGGCAAAACTTAAGAACTTTAGGGCGAAAGTTCGCCTATGAGTATCTTACATGCCGAAAGTATGCAAACCCCGGACACTCCCTTAAGGATTACGTCCCATGGTGGAAGCTGAATTGAAAAGACTGGAACAAGAAGGACCGGTAGAACCTGTAACACATTCGGAGTGAGTAGCTTCAATTGTTCCGGTATTAAACCGGATGGTCACATGAGAATATGTGGGGATTACAAACTCACGCTCAATCGTTACGCACTCATCAACCGGTATCCGTTACTTAGAATTGGGGACTTATACGCCACCTTAGTTAGAGGAAAGCAATTTTCTAAACTTCGTTTGAGTGACGCCTACTCTCAAGTAGAACTTGATGAACAGTCTCAAGAATTCACTACAATTAGTACACACACGATTGTACAAATACAAGAGGTTGCCGTTCGGTACCAGTGCAGCTTCAGGCATCTTTCAAAGGATCACAGACAACATGGCGCGAAATATTCCAAACACGTGCGTATTTAGATGATATACTCATCACGGACCGAACTTAGACGAAGAACCTGGAGAAATTAAACAGCGTTCTACAGCGACTTTCGGATAAAGGTTTACGATTCAGGAAACCAAATGCTTTGAATAACTGGGCTATCGGCTCGATTATAACGGGCTACATGCGCCACCTAACAAAGTAAAACCGATATTAGGCACACCCGTACCACGAAACGAAAGTTAATTACGATCATTCATAGAAATGCTGTCCCATTACCGTCGTTTTATACCGAATTCATCCATCGTTCTTTCTCCGCTCTACGACCTCCTGAAAAAACAAACTAGTTGGAGGTGGTCCCAAAGTGAACAAAGAGCATTTTAAGAAGCGAAACGTCTGCTGACCTCACCAAAGGTATTAGTACACTATGATCCTGGAATACCTCTGATGATGCAATGCGATGTTTCACCATTTGGGGTAGGCGCCGTACTTAGCATGCAGACTCTGACGGAGTTATTCACCCAATAGCCTTTGCTTTGCGCACTCTCCCAGCCGGCGGAAAAGAACTATTCTCAACTCAATAAAGAAACAATTTCACCAATACCTTTGGGTACCGTTTTTGAACTACATACTGACCATACTGAACACCAACCGTTGCTCTCGCCATTGGGCAAGAATAGAGGAATAGAACAAGTGAACGCACCCAGAATTGTACGATGGGCACTCCTGCTCTCTGCCTATAACTACCGGATTTGCTATATCCCCGGTCAGAAAAATCTATTTACTGATGTCTTGAGGTGTTTGCCGCTCCGTGTTACAGCTAACGAGCTGAACGAAGTAGAGTTTGTGCAATAACTGCAGCGCTTGGATAACTCTTCAACATGTAGTATGGAGAATAAACACGAAACGGACAGAGACCCGGTACTGTCCCAAGATAAACGGATGATTCTGCAAGGCTGGCTGACGGAGGTCACGGATGAACTTTGTCCTTACTTTAATTTTCGTTCTAAACGGAGTCTGTATGACGGATGCATACTAAGTGGCTCTCGCATAATTGCCCCAGAATCAGTTATGAACAAATTGCTGAAGGAGCCACACGACGCCCACCCAGGTGTAGTAAGAATGAAGGTACTCGCGAGATCATACTTTTGGTGACCTCATCTGGAACAAAACATCGAGCAATGGGTGCGTTGCTGTGACTACAGCCAACAACACCAAAAGAATAAACCAAGAGGACCAATACACCCATGGTCACTACTGGATGGTCCCTGGCAGCGCATGCATGTGCATTACTTCAGACCCGTTGAGGGGAAGATGTTGTTACTTATGATAGACGCTTACTCAAAATGGATCGACATACATATCGTACCCAACATTACCGTCAACAAAGTTCGTTCAAGTTTATCCAAATACGGGGTGCCTAAAACACTACGCACGGATAAGGACCCCCAGTTTACCAGGGCAGCATGCAAGGATTTTCTGAAAAGTTAAGGTGACTATCACATACCAACAGCATCTTATCACCCATCATCCAATGGCTCAGCCAAGAGAGCCGTTCAAACAGTTAAGAACGGATTGTGCAAGCAGCGACTAACGTTCCCAAAGGTAACGAAGAGGCGTTCAAGAAGACGTAGCGTAAGTAGAAGGAAGACGGTTTCACGGGAGACATTTTCTTTCAACAAGGAGGGATTCCCTTTGAGCGGAAAGGCGCGAAAGTTGTTCCCAAACCTAGATTGAAATAAAAATGAAAAAAAGTGATTTGGAATTTGCTCAATAGTGATAAAACAGATATGATGAGGCACAATGCCGGGGCACACGCCGACCGGGTGGCATTGTTCACTATGTGAAACCATTTCTTCCAGTGCACGGATTTTGCTTTACTACTGCATCTGTGGAACACAGTAAATTTTGGTGCATACTTTTGAAAGTATTGTGACCCCTTGCTGAATACTCGAAAACTCTGTCAACTCGTTTATAATTCACTATTTTGGTTCAATTCGGGAGCTCACACTAACCAGGAGGCATTGTTGACTATCTCGATCTAATCGCTGCGGTAAAACGGAATCAACTTCGGTGCGTCCTCTGTGAAGCACACTAAAGTTTGGTAAATCATTTTAAAAGCTTTGAGAATGCTTAGCCTGTAAATTCAGTTGACGAAATTATCTCATTTTCGTGGCTCATTCTAAGCGAGTACGAGTGTCTGTTTTCTCAACAGTGTCCTTACCAGTAAACGGATTTAGCTTCAAAGATGGATCTGTGGAGGGTAATTCATTTTGGTGTTTACGTTAGGTCGCCTTTTTCTTTTAACTCATTCGGCTCCCTTCCGTTAAACAAGCTCATTGGGTTTGCAACAAAAATGCAAATAGTGATTCTCAGTGGCAATATGTTGTGAAAACACATTCGTAGATGAAGCTGAGGCGGAAAAAGAAGAGCAAGAGGGAACTCGACTGAAGTTTTGAAGCATCAAACAGGCAAGCAACTGAGCAGGGGAGGATCAGTTGGTCAAGACTCGGTAAGTTAACGAGAAGAAACATGGATTTGATGAAAGGCAAATTTAGCCCAAGTAGCACCGACACCAACTGAGCGGAAGCGGTTGAACGCGGATTCTAAATCCACAGAGAAATAAAGTGAGAAAAGCGGTTTAGAATCGGCTCAATATGGAAAATATAGAGGAGGCAAAGGTGACAATATAAGAGCAAGGGAGAACGTGCCTGAAGTTTGGAAACATTCAGAATGCATGAATCTAACAAGAAGAGGATCAGGTGGTCAATAATAGATAAGTTGAGGCGAAAAACCAAGTTTTTTGAAAGACATTTAAATCCAAGTAGTACCGATACAATTTGTGGGGAAATGCTCAAACGGGGTTTCCACAGTTAGATTGAAATACAAATGAGAAAAGTGATTCTGAGTTGGCTGTATGGCGTCAAAATAGATTCCTTGAGGAAACGATGTAGATAAAGCTGATTTGGAAAAGAAAAAAACAAGAGAACCCGACTGACATTCGGGAGGAATTAACTGAGAAGGATTGAATGAGGTGGTCAAGATAATGTAAGTTTATATAAAAAGGAACCTATTGCGATGGACATTTCAGTCAAAGTAACAACAACACAATATGAACGAAATGCTCAAACGAGTTTCATAAACGTGGAATGAATTAAAAATAAAACTAGTGCTTCTGAGTTTGCTCTATGGCAATAAAACATTACCTTTGAGGAAAAGATGTTGAAAAAGTAAAAGAACAATAGAAGAACTTACCTGACTGAAGTTTGGAAGCATTCAGCAGGCAAAAGCTGAGCAAGAGCAGTTCGGGTAGTAAAGAGGAGCTAAGTTAGGGAGAAAAAACATGGTTTGACGGTGGACATTTTAGTCCAGGTTTTGCGAGATATTGCTCACTGGTGAGCAGTACGCAAAATGATGCGATTAGCGGTTTCTTTCAACGACCAAAGATCAACGTGACCTGTTGCAGCAAACTGCTGATGTTACTTAAGGTGAATACAAGAATGCGCATCTAACAGTGAATCGTCCCATCAACTATCCTATGTGCATGTGGGAATTCTGCAACCTTGTTCCGAATGAGATATTTTGTTGTACGAATGACCATTTAACCATATCTCGAACGTTATTGACAATAAATAACTATCTTCGACCAGCACCGACTTTTGGAATTGTAACACTGGTGCTGTCGACAGGATCAGGATGTAGGTCGCATGGCCAGAGTTCTTCGCGGACGGAGACGCGCGGGCGTTCGTGGATGATTTCGAGAACTCCGCGGCGCAGGCGGAATACGGTCGGACTGGGGTAAATTCACGGACCTCCGAGCGCTTCTTAAGGGCCGTACGCGAGCGGTGTTGGATGCGTCGCGAAGAGGCCCGGAGAAGATGAGATGGGCCGCCACGAAGGACGCCCTGATCGCGAGTTTCGACACCCGGGCCGACCGCCAGAGGACGTTGCATAGCTTCGGGACGGCGCAGCTCTGCGTTGGCGTGGACTCCCTGTTGCATGCCGCGGCCATGCGTGCCCTGATGGATCGAGCGCTGCCAACTTTGAACGACGCTGCTCGTTTGGAATCATTCCTGGAGCGTTTTGTGAAGATTCTGCCGGACAATCAGCGAAAGAAGACGTGAATTGTCCAAGCGGGGTGTTTCATGCTAGTATTCACGTTGCCTGAAAGTATGATACGGTTAACAAATCCTGAAGGTTCGGCTCTCCAAACTGACGAAGTCCCGAAAAGCCAATGACCGGTGGATGCTACGGACGTCCTGAAATAGCTGCCAGAAGATGTAGCCACACGGAACTCAAAGTCTGGAGTAAGAAAGAACAGGAATGTGTGCTTTCAATGAAGAAATAGACATTCCCCGGACGGGTGCAACGTTCTCTCGAGAAACGGTTTACGCAGAACCTGCCCGTTGCTTCAAACAAAGCCATAATAGGCGCGGTAGATCGCAGCGCACTCCAAGCCCAATTGGAGATATAGAATCGGAAGGAGCTAGGCGTAATCGACACTGGTGCGACAATAACTTTGGCGAGACCCCAAGCAAATGAATCCCTGGAACAATGGAATACAACTGTGAAAACAGCTGGCCGTTACCAGTTGAAGGTAGATGGAGTAACCAAAGGGACAGTCCGCGTTGGAAACAAGATAATTAAGCGTCCAATTGTCATAACAAAAGACACGAACCAGATTGTAGTGGGAGCAGATATATTGCGCAATTTAAGGGCCGTGGTTGATTTGAACAACGAACGGCTTGTCACCAGATTCGGTACGATCCCGCTGTCACGCTCTAAAGAGAAGACGTTGTCAGCTATGAGTACACAAACAACTCACACGAATATGTCACCGTCATTCTAGCCAAAGATTCAACGATACTCCCACCTGTTCACTGGCAATAATGACCCGCACTGGTTCTGTAACTGGATGGAACACAAAATTCTAATGAACGCAGAAAGGTTTGAGCCTATGGTTCACGTTGAATTCCAC